ATTTCACCCCCCAGGCTAAGGGATGGAATGTCTGGACTATCCTTGGGAGGCAACATCAATAGCCACTCGGTCTTGTCTGGGTTGTGTGCAAGCTTGTTCACTCCCATCCATTCTCTGAGTAGGTTCACTACTGCATGAGGAGCATGGCTGCTGCTCTCAAGGGGCTGAGCAGGAGTGGCGGATGTTCCTTCCCGCCCTGGAAAGAGCTGCCGCCAAGGGAGCTGGTGTTCCTCGGGGGACACCCAGGACGGCAAAGCCAGGCCTCTCCCAGAAGTTGCTCAGGAGGTGCCCTTGCCCCCTCCTCCATCTCTTTCAGAATATTGGTTGCGACTATGAAATTGACTCCTACGCTATGGAGGACCGGTGTGGTGTGTGCCACGGGGATGGATCCACCTGTCGGACAGTGAAGAAAACCTTTGAGGAGAGCGAGGGGCTGGGTGAGTGCGCTTTCATTTCGGGAAGGCTGGTGCAGACGGGAGACGATTTGTGAATCCTTCTCATTCTTTGCTCCTCTGTAAAACAGACATTCCAGATGTCTTAATATCTGAGCTGTACTGTGACAAAAGGGTTTTGAACAAATGAGGATGTGGGGGAGAGAAGTTTGAAATGCAGTGATCCCAAAGGATTTGGGAAGGAAGTGGATCTCATAGAAGTGGCGGGGCTTCCCATGAAGTGTATGCTTCCATGTCTTCCTTTGGAGGATTTCCTGACCTTTTGCAGGTTCTGGTGAAAGCACATCTGCCTCTTTTTCCAGGGGCTGCTTGAGAGCAATTTCCCTTTGGACTAGACAGAAGCTCTTGAGAGACATTCAGGAGGTTCCCTGGGTAGCTGTCAGAAAGAGCGGGCTCTTTCCACTTGCTGGGAACAAGGACTTTGCGCTGTTGCCTGCTGTTGACAAGCATTCAACATCCCAACAGGTTATGTTGATGTTGGCCTGATCCCGGCTGGAGCACGTGAGATCCAGATCGAGGAGGTGGCCGAAGCGGAGAACTTCCTGGCTTTGAGAAGTGAAGACCCCACGAAATACTTCCTGAATGGTGGCTGGACCATCCAGTGGAATGGGGACTACAAGGTGGCTGGGACCACTTTCACCTACAAGAGGATGGGAAATTGGGAAAACCTGACTTCTCCAGGGCCCACAGAAGAACCGATTTGGATTCAGGTAGGCAAAGGGGGGGTTGCCTCTGGGCTCTTGTGCCGGAGAATGGCAAACGCCATGCTTAGGTCAGTGCTTGGGCAAGGCTGCTTGCCCCCTAGATGGGCTGCCAAGGGTTCATTTTGCCCAGAGGACTCTTGGACAACAGCAGGAGCAGCACTGTTGCTTCCCAGCCTTCTTTGGAAAGTGTGAAGTCAGCCTGGGCTTTTCCATAGGCAGAGATGGGTTTCGGAGCCAGCAACCTCAGATTCGTTCTCAGGTTTTATATGTGTGTCGTTGTTTTTACTTCTGGACTCAAGATCACAGAGTCTGGTGGGGTGGGGCAGCAGGCTGTCCTCTACTGCTTTTCACCACGCAGTGCCTGTCTGAGACATTACCTGGGAGCTGGGTGGGGGCTACATTTTTTGGGAAAGAAGAAAGTCTAGATACAGAAAACGTGGATGACAAAGGACTTCGGAGCAGAGAATCCCTTGGTGGGGGGGAGAGCGCTGGGCGGAGCCTATTTCCAGCCCAGGCACTGGGGAGGGGCTGTGCTGTCCAGGGGTCTGCAGGGACTGAGTTGAAACCAGACTTGGTCTCTGGCTGGGCAGCAGGAGCCTTTCCCTGCTCTGGATGCCTGGTTTGCAGGGGTCTGTGAGAAGCAGAGGGAGAGCAGGGCTGCCTCCCCCATCACCTCTGAGCTCAGGAAAGCCAAGCCGCTTCCCAGAAAAATGCAAGGGGGAGGAGTGGTGTTAAAGTGGTTCGGGGGCTGTTTCTGGATGAGACCCTCTAGTCACCTGGTGCTGCTGCTGCTTTTCTGTGTTTTGCAGCTTGCAGAGTTGCAGTTGAGCCCCTATTTCCCTAGTGACCAAGGTTAAGGTGGGGCCACTCTGAAACCCTGGTGATAATAAACCTCCTTAATCAAATAAACTACCAATGTTCTCGGTTTGGAGAGAAGGAAGGCCTGGATTTAATGAATTGGGGAACTTTTTTAATCTCACTGGGAGGAGTCTGCTTGGACAGGGTCTTCCAGCCAAGGAGCCTTCTGTCCCTTCTGCTTGAATAGCCCCTTGTGAGATGCAGAACAAAGGAAGGGATTTAAGAGATCCTTGGTGCTGGTCAGCTCTCTTCCACCCACGTAGCTAGTCCGGCTGTGGCCCAGGACTCTGAGATGCTTCGTAGATGGAGCTCCCACCACTCCGAGACTCTCAGCCTGGGCATCAGCTAGAACATGTCCTTCCCACTTCCCCACTTTCCAGAGTGGACTTGACTGACTGTGAAAAGCCTTGGAACAAATGAGACTTGCTTCCTCTCTCCTCTCCTCTCCTCACCCTCAGGAAAAGAGCCAGGTCTTCCATTCTGATTCTCCTTCTCTTTCTATGTTTATCTTGTGGAAAATATCTCACAGGTCAAAGGATCACTTCTCACTCAGGAAATTTGAAGGTGCATTAATTCATGTGATTAGGTCATCTCCAGTTTTTCTGGGAAGCCTATTGTACATTTTGTGGAGAGCGATGGAAATGGCCTTGAGGGGAATAATAAGGCATCGTTATACGAACTACAGGGAGCATTTCTGGAGACCTGAAGAGGAGACCATGTTGGGAAGAGGCTCAAGCTCATTCCTTCCTGACTCAATGGGGGTAAATAAGGAAGGGAGGAAAAACACAATCAGGCTTGGAAGATCCAGTTACTAGAGCTGATCTTCATGTGGAGTCTGTTCAGTGGGGTGGACAAACTTGAAGAGTAGACCCAAATATTCCTTCGGAGCTGGAAAGGGCTTCCCATGAATGGGAGCCTGCCTCCTTCTAGCCCTCCCGTTCTCCCCCTCTCCAAAGGCATGTGGCTCAGTTGCTACACCTCTTGGGAGAAATCAATCAGAATAGAACTGGAAGGGACCCTGGAGGTCTTCTAGTCCAGCCCCATGCTCAAGCAGGAGATCCTATACCATTTCAGATTGCCCAGTCTCTTCTTAAAAACCTCCAGTGATGAAGCACCCACAACGTCCGGTGGCAAGCTGGCTAATTGTTCTCTCTGTTGGGAAGTTTCTTCTTAATTCCAGGTTGCTTCTCTCCTTGATTAATTTCCATCCATTGTTTCTGGTCCTACCTTCAGGTGCTTTGGAGAAGAGGTTGACCTCCTCATCTTTGTGGCAGCCCCTCAAATACTGGAGCACTGCTATTGCCACCCCTTAGTCCTCCTTCTCTCCAGACTGGCCATCTGCCAGATCACAGGGAAAGATCCTTAGGCCAGGGAAAAAAGATGGGATTCAGGCAGGCTCCTCCTGCATTCATGGGATGTGAGAGCCCAGCCAGATTCTGTCTTCTGAGAGGAATTTTTTCCCTTCCACATGGATTCTCGGGGTCTCCTTGCATCAGTCCCTGGCCCTTTTCTTGACAAGGTTTTTCAGACGTGGTTTGCTATTGCTTCCTTTTTAGGGCTGAGAGGGAGTGACTGGCTGAAGGCCACCCAGATGGCTGCGCCCAAAACAGAGGTAGAACTCTCGGGCGCCTGGTTCTAGCCTGATGCCTTAAGCATTACACCACCTTGGCTCCCTCTATGTATGTAATAAAGCCATAAAACATGTCTATATATTGTGTAATAGTTCTCTCTAGAACGGGGGGTCAAACTTGATTTCATTGAAGGCCACATCAGGGTTGTATTTGGCCTCGGGGGTGGTGGTGGTGGGTGGGCATGGGCGTGGCCAGCTCAACATCACTCCTGTTGGGGGGGGGGGCTGTGGTGGCCTGAGTGCTCCAGCCTGCGGGGTGCTTACATCTGCCTGCTGGAGGGCTGCCTTGGAAAGAGTGAAGGACCAGCCCTCGGCCTCTGCCAGCGGAAACAGAGGTGGGGGTGGGGGGACACATTGCCCTGCTGAGCTCCGCTTTTGCTGGCAGGGGGCTTCAGGAGGCCTTTGCAGCTGAAAACGGATGCGGCCTGTGGGCCTTGAGTTTGACACCCCTGCTCTAGAACATCACTTCTGCAGGAGTCCTCAATTTACAATCCTTTGTTTAGTGATCAAAGAAAACTCAGTGACCATCCAGAGTTGCAACAGCTCTGAACAAGTTGTACAAATGTCTTGTCCTAGAAATTGTGGTCATTGTGGTGATTTGGGTGCTTGGCAACTAGCTTGCACTTATGACGGTGGCAGCATCCCATGGCCAGATGATTGTTGGAAGATGACAAGTCACGCCTGCTTCTGTTGCTTTTCCTTCATCACATTTGCCTGCACACAGCCCCCTCCCCTGTGCCCACACTCTGCACTGTGTGGCGCATGGTTGTGCACACACTGCAACGCCTCCAGGCCACAGCAACCCTGCCTCACCTGGCTGAACATGCGCAGGGCTGCATCCGTGTACCTGCCCATACTCCATGGCCCTCACATCCCACCTGCACTTGGCCCTGCTGCAGCATCCCTTCCCTGTTGTACTTGTGCCGGACGGGCACTCTGGACCCCACTCTAGCACTCGCCTCTTTGCCGGCCTGCTCAGGAGCTGCCCCAAATAGGCTTTTGTCTGGGACTTCCCGGGGGCTTCCCCATTGGCTCTCCCTTTTCGGAAGCCAAAAGGAAGTCCCAAATCCTGGTCAAGTGAGGTCCTTGTTTAACAACCTTGCTTAATGGCAGCAGAGGGACTGCCGGATTGCCACTGCCAAGCGGCGCAGTCCCATCACATGGAGCTTTGTAACAGCACCAGTTACCAATGGAAATTCCAGTCTCAATCATTGTGGTTCAGTCCAGGACCGTCTGTCTGGTGATTTGCCCTCAGTGACAGAATCCCAGGCTCCCCCATAAGTGTGGGGTTGGCCCCATTTCACCTCTGGAAGGGCATCTTCACAATTGTGTTTCCCCAACACTGGTTGCCTGGCTCAAGGTGTGTCTCTGCTTGCCCTCAGCTCCTGTTTCAAGAGAAGAACCCGGGTGTCCGTTATCAGTACACCATCCAGCAGGAGTCCAGGAATCAGAGTTTGGTTGCTCCGCCTGAGTTCTTCTGGCACTACGGACCCTGGACAAAATGCACAGCTACCTGTGGGACAGGTGAGGAGTTGCCTGCTGGGCAGCAGGTTGCTTTCTCGGCAGCCTGAGCAGAAGCAGCAACTGTCCAGCTGCAAATCTGATTGGACTGGTTCTTGCATTGGGGCAGTCCAGAAAACCGGGGGGAGGGGGGTGGAAGGGGTTGAGGATCCACCACTGCAAGTGGTTTTCTAAAAGAAGAGTCAGGATCAGGATAGGAATGGGAGCTTCTGACATGACTGGGTCTGCTTTTGAGGCACCAGACTGGTGAAATCTTAGGATGAGGCAGTGCAGGGAACTTTAAGTTTAGAGAGTTGCCCTCACGAAGCATTGCACGGCAGAGAGCGTGTGGCTGAGGTTCAAACATCCTGCTCGGGGCAGGCGCCATCCCGGGGCTTGCGCCCTTTTAGCTCTTACCTGTCCAGGTGGCTTCTGCTGATGCCCGATGGGGAGCAACTGCAGCCCCATCTGACGCTTCTTCTCATTTCTTCTGCTGATGGGGGGAGGAAGGCAGCTGCGATGATGAGGATGGAATAGGAAGTATTTGGCAACACGAGGTCGATTGCCCGCCAGGTGCCATCGGTTCATGATTGGGACCAGCCGTTCCTCGGGTTTTATTGCCTGGTGTGCCTTCCTTGTCGCCAGGGGAGATCATGGGGCAAACGGAGAAAGAAAGAAAGAGTCCTACTCTGCATCAAAGTGGGAGAGAAATGCACAGGCTTGTTCTTGGGCCTCTGGACTTTTCTGTATATGCTCATAGGAAACTTGAGCCTCCGAGTAATTTAAGAGTTAGTTCAATTGGTTTGGGTCCAGACATGGGGGCTTGGTGTAGAGCACACCCTGCTTCTTCGTTCCTTGGAGCCTGTCCATCCATCGCCCTGCCTCCCTGTTGCGTAGGAGGCTGTGACAGCAAGAGGCAAATGGCTTGTGTTGGCAAACAAGTCTAGCTTTCTGCTTCAGACACTCCCGTTTGCAAGGTCGGGCCAGGAGGTGGGTGGGAGAAGCAGGGCGTGGAGTTAGCTGACCTCAGGAGGCCTTGCTGCTTTTCGTGTGCAGATGCTTCCTTGGGATCTGACCAGGGACTGATGGAGAAAGAGGCCTTGGTAGAGTTCCACTGAGGTCTTGACAGGGTGTGTATCTGCTGTGAAAAAAGGCAACAACACTTTGGGGCTAATAAGAAACGGTGCTGGAGACAAGTGTCATAATGTCCTGATACAAACTGATGGTGTGACTCCATTGGGAGCACTGTGTGCAGTTTTGGTCACACAATTCAAAAAGGATCTAGTGGAGCTAAAGGAGGTTCAGAGGAGGGCAACTAAGGTGATCCAGGGGCTGGAAAGGTTTAAGAAAAGCTGATTAATCTAGAAAAAAGGCAACTGGAAGGGGAAATGATTAAAGTATATATAATTAGATAGAGTTTCACTTCTTGGATGAGAAGCGAAATGTCTTCAAGGAAAAACCAGGGACGTCTGGTTGCCTTTTGAAAAAGCACCTTTGGGGCAACTGTGACCTGGATGTTGATAATCTCCATGGCTTTTTGAGATGGCTGGTAGGACCACCGACGTCTGATGATTTGATGAGGTTGCTCTTCAGCAGCCTGGAGCTGGAATTGACCTGTGGCCCTAGCGGAGTTCTCACGGGCTGTTAGAGGCCTGTTCTTTGAACGTGTTGCTTAGCTGGGCCACGTAGCTCATCTGAATCTACCTCTCAGACAGGGACTCTGGCCAAGTGCCAGCTCTCCTGGGCTCATCCTGTGGATGGTGTGGATGGCTGTCTTTTGGAGGGAAGCTGAATAAGGGATTCACTCCCAGCGGTGCCACCTTGTTCCTCTCCTCCACGGTTACTCACTGATGTCCTCTGGGATCGGAGAAGGTGGGGGGGCTGGGCTCTCTACGTGTCCCATGAAGCTGAGATCCGGACTTGTGCAGAGTACAAGCTGAGTGTCACCAGACATGCAAAGCTTTTAAAGGGAGTGGACACAGTCTAGCCAGGGGTGGGTTCCAGCTGCCGCTACTGCCAGTTCGCTCAGGGACGCTCACTGAGCAGGCATGCGCAGTGCAACAAAAATTGCTCTGTGCTTGTGCAGAAGGCAAAAACAATATGGTGGCACCTATGGCACTGCAGAGAGAACTGGTTTGGAGGCGTGGTAGGCCTGGGTCACTGCCGGTTCCAGCAACCCAGGCCGCCAAATTATTAACGGTTCAGCCAAACTGGTAGGAACCCACCTCTGAGTCTAGCCAAGACCCCATGTCTCCCCCTTCCCCACTGAGGGGCAGCTTGTGGCACCTGAGGCTGCAGTGCTTCCTCTGAAGACTTGGTCCTCAAAGCCGGCTGAGAGAAACAACTCAAGGCCTCTGTAGCTTCTCAGGAGCCAGGATAGTGTTTACACCTTCTAGAAAGGAAACAAATGCATATTTTTCATCCGGGAGAAAGACAGGCCAATGGGGGCTGATGAACACTTATCTAACCGCTTCTTCATTAGTTGAGCTGAAAGGGGAGGTTTGCCAGCCAAGCCGATTCTGTAAAGATTTCCTGCCAGCAGTAAGAGCTGCCAAAAACACATCAGAATTTGGCTAGTTGCCTCCCTCCTGGGGATTCTCCAGCATCATGATCCCCCAGGAACATTTCCTGTTCATGGGGCCAATGTGCCTTCTCCCTCTCCAGGGAAGTGTGTGTGTTTTGGCTGCCTTGCGGAGCGTTTGTGGAAGGAAAGGCATTTGTCCAGAATCAGATGGGCAGCAAAGCTGGTGTAAACCTTCCCAGTCACTGAAGCAGCCGCAGCCCAGCAAGCTGTGCTCAGCGGCAGCAACCAGGGCAGGGCTTGGCCAGGGTCTGGGTTGGGAATGGGCTTCTTTGGCTCAGCCCTGCTCGTTGGTGGCCAGCAGAGAGATGACGGCAGCTGATTCCTCCGGAGCAGGAATGTCAGAGGTGTTTTTTGCTGAGATCTGGTCCACGGAGCCACCCTGGAAATGAGCATGCAAGAAGGGATAGGAAAGGAGAAAGGGAAAGAGGAAGATAAAGAAAAAGAAGGGAAGAGAGCAAGGAAGGAGAAATAAGGGAAGAGGGGAAGGAAGAAGGAGAATGAAGAGGGAAGGAAAAAGAAGGGAAGGGGAAGGAAGGAAGATTATAATGAGAGGGAGGGAGGGTCTGAGGGAAGTCCTGCCTTAGCACTCGGCCACCACAGCATGTGACATCGAGCTGGCCATGCCCCCCACCCGCCACTCGAGGTCAAAAACAACCTTGATGTGGCCCTCAATGAAATCGATTTTGACACCCCTGCTCTGGAGAAACACACTTCAGAAATCTAAGATTCACTACTGGCTTTGGACCCTGAAGTGGCATTTATTCATAGATTTGCTCCTTGTGTGTTTTGTGGAAGACTAAGTCCAAATTGAATGCAATGGGTTTATTTTCTGTTTACAAGCTGGGCTGAAAGACCCAGTTTGGTTGGTGATGATGATGCTGGACCACAGGTGGTCCAAAGATATCTCCCCTGTCTTTGTCCCATCTCAAAATCTAATGCTCCTATTTCCTAACTCCTGATGAGAGTCATTTATAAATATGTGGACCAGCAGAGGGATTAAAAGAGAACCTTGTGTCACTCCATCTGACGCAGAGTCCCTGTCCTCTCTCATTGGAGAGTTTTTCCACCAGCTCTTCATCCATCTGATGGCCACTTAGTGATGCCATTGTCTCTCTTGAAACCTCATTATATCTCTCATTGCATCGGGATGGAGTCTGGGCAACTGAGTGCTGAGTGTTTACTGGCCGGATGCCCTTCCTGTCACCTTTACAGAGTCTGCAGCAGATATTTCCTCCTTGTGGCCAGAGAGACAAATATCTGCCGCTGCCTAGGATCGAACTCACAACCTCCTGATTGTGAGGCTCCACTTCTAGGCGTGTGAGAGCACTACTCACTAAGTTACAGTTATATGGTTTATTAAATACATCTTGTTCAATGATCCAGGCTACTCCTGTACTTGTCTAGTTGTAATTTTAACCTGATTGTGATGACTCCAGTCCGCCCTCATGCCTGTCTGAATGGTCTCTTGACTGTAGCCTTCTAGGGCCATTCCCTCCTGGCTTCGAGGCTCTTGGCTATTTGCAGGCTGGGTGGGAAGCAAACTCTTTAGTAGACATTCATCCCTGCCTTCTGCTTAGGGAGCAGCTGAAGTAACAAATGGCAAAAAAGTGCAGGGAAGGGTGAGATAGAATTTAAGGCCCACAAGGGAATGGCATGTAACAAAGCCCTTCGGTCTGGACCCTTGCGGGGGGATCCCAAGTTGTGACTGAACAGACGGTTCGGGTTCAACTTGAAATGAAAATTAAGTTGCAAGTTTATAAATCACGGGGGATCTCAAATTTCTCTCCGTGATTTATGCTCACAGGTGAGATCCACAGCACAACACACAAGGATTTTGTTCCTCTTCCCAGACAAGCCATGCCCAACATGTATCCTTGCCCCTTGGCATGTGCCCAGGTGAAGCCCCTCTCTCCCTCCCTCCATCTAAGCACCTTCTCCCACCCTCAGGGGTCCAGAGACAGATGGTGCGTTGCCTTGAGAAAGCCGCTGGGTTTGTGGAGGAGCAGTACTGCGATGCTCTTAGCCGGCCTGATGACGAGCAGAGGAATTGCAACCAGGAACCATGTCCAGCCAGGTCAGCTCTTGGGCTCATCCAAAGCTATTCAGACGGTAGGATGCTCCACCACTGAAAATAAAGGCCTGGGAGAAGAATGCTGCTCTGCCAATTCTGCAGAACGCGGGGCTCAGACAAACCCTGAGGCTGGGCCTCTCCGGCAGCACTTCCCTGTGGCTCCAGAGGCCATCACAGCCAGCCGTGGTCTCCCAGACAACCAAAGACCATGCCACCCCCTGGACTTCTGATGACCAAGTTCAGTCTAAAGTGGAACAGTCCAGGACGTGGCAAGAGGTCCTGTATGGGTCCAGAGTGGACGTTGTGATGACCTAACCTTCCATTCTGTGTATTTCCACAGGTGGTGGGCTGGTGAGTGGCAGGCTTGTTCAGCCACTTGTGGTGACTCTGGACTGATGAAGAGGACTGTCCTCTGCATTCAAAGTGTGGCCCTGGATGAGCAGCAGGCACTACCACCCAACATGTGCCAGCATCTCACCAAGCCAGAAACCACAGCTGCTTGCAACCGTGAAGTCCTCTGCTTGGCACTGTGGGTCACAGGCAACTGGTCCAAGGTGAGAGTCACATTGCAAAATTATAGGAACCTTGAGGTGTCAGGAAGGAGGACAGAGGCATGGCGGGAACTGTGGGTTTTCTCATAGCTCTTTGGGTCTAGTTTACAGAATCCTTCATTCTTTTCTGTGGTTTTTTTTGTCCTTCATGCCATCTGTGCTTGGGCAAAATGTTGATCATCTCTGGGTTTGAACTGTGGGACCAGCCACAGTTCTGAAAATTTCCCCGTTTTCCTTCAGCAAAGCAGCTTTCTTTCATGGTAGTGGATCTAGGTACTTGAGAGACCGCCTCTTGCCAATTACCTCCTCACGACCCATTAGATCGCATAGATTGG